TCCGAAGAATTTTTAATACCTTGCCAAATGATGCAAGGTGGAAATGTCTATGATTTGAGTTGAGACTCACTAGTATTAGGATATTTAGATTCATGAAGTATAATGCGGATGGCAAATGGGACAGGGAAGGGAAGGGAAGATCCGTGAATACAATATTTATTAAATCTAGACTATCTTAATGTCATTTTCTAACCTGCATCGTCTGCATGCGTTCGTAATAGGCTTGAGCTTGGGCATAAAGTTCGTCCTGTTCAGCCTTTTGCTCCTGCATAGCTGCCTGATACTCTGTCTCCAGTTGTGCCACTCTTTCTCGCCACTCAACCTCGACTTTACGAACCGCTGCCTCGAGGCGGGTGCGCACTCTTTCATTTTCCTGATTAGCTGATGCAATTGCAGCCGTGGCCGCAGCTTCAGCATCGAGCACGGAACGGCGGGCATGTGATAATTCATCTCTTAGACGATCACGTTCATCTTCGGCAGCAGAGATCTTCTCTTGCAAGTGTGCCAGATTGGCTTGACTGAGTTCAAGCTCCTCTTTAAATTTATCTGAGGAAACAGCTGCTACACCCGATTGTATTGGCTTGTCCAATGTTTCGATCACCTTATCATCACCTTCGGATTCTTCATTAAGCAAACCGAACCGACGTTGCTCACTGGAAAGTTGGGCGGCCCATGCTGAAAGGCGGCTGTTCTCTGCTTCTTGCATATTTAAACTGGACTCCAGTTGCAGTATGCGTTCACGCATACCAAATACGTCTTGTTGGGTAGGAATCCCAGTGGGTGTCTTGGAGAATCGAGTGTCAATGAGCCCAAACAATACCATAAGGTCTATTTGCGAAGTGCATGAATGTAATGAATATATGGTACATTATTAACAGAAAAATAGTAACCCCCAGCAATATTTGTGTTCTTAGTGAAGAGAAAATGATTTTTAATAAGAGAGGATAATAACTAGCATAAAATGGATAGGAAGATGCATCATAAAAAAACACAAATGAACTTTGCCTAAAGCGAGAATAAAACGACCCAATTTAAAAGATCGAAGCAAACCACTTGCCTACAAAAGACAGGACTTATACAAAATAAAATATTAAAAAATCAGTATATGTATCTTAGTATTATTTTTGTGGACTATATATCGGTATTAAAAACAACGGTATTGCATGAGAGAATGTCGA